AAGCAAAAGGTTAGTGGTTCAAACCCATCCAGCAGTTCCAAGGGAGAAAATACCTGGCGATATGCTTCTGTAAAGAGTACAGCCTAGGAAACCCTATGGGGGCAGTTCTACTTTGTCCTACTTTGGTTCATTTTAAGTCAGAATCAACTTGAAGGCACACAATAACATCAGTAAGAAATTTTAGTTTTCATTATTCTTATCTACCAGTTCTCCATCAATGGACAATTGAAGATGTTTACCTTTGAGCTTCTCCCACATGAGCACATATAACTCCAAAGAGCTTGGCTGCAGAGTTAACAACTGAAAGTGTTGGAGGTAGGGGTTTAGGCACTGAATCGCCTTCTACATCTTTTTCATATATAGAATAAGGGTCATACTCGAGACTTCCACAAGCAACACCATTACCAAGCAGGAGCTAAAAAGGAAAAAGATATATCATGCTTTAAAATCACTGTTCACAGATTGAATCTACCCAAGAATTATAAAAAATGACCATACCTGTTCTTCAATAAATCTATGGTCAGTCTCTTGAAGCAGGGGACTCAATATCAAAAGATCATCCTGATGACACAGTGGTGGAAGTAAAAATGTGGATGCTGCCACCTGGATGTCAGGAGTAGTCAAGTCAGCAGCCAGCTCTTTGAGTATAGCACAGAGGTTTCCTGTTGAAGTTGAGAAAAACAGTAATTTGCAATTTAGTACTAGCAGTTATCTGATTAGAAGTTTGAAGCTTTAATATATAATCGGCCAACTTTAATAAATCACATCCAACAATTTTATTTTTCATCCTTGAAAATGGAAATGAATGGTTCAACTATGTGCTGCTGTCCACAAGGTTGACTAGGTATGGATTCTGAAAAGACATTTCAAAGTAAATGTGTATTTAATACCTATGGCACCAGACTAGTGTAACTCTTAAGACTGTGACCCTTAGACACCCTTCAAACCTGGAACTGAGGCCTACCCTCATAGATCATCCTGCAGACAAACAACAAACAGGCTTATAAAGGGAACAGTAGCACATGTGAGGAATATACTCATCAGAAAAATTTAAAAATGTAAGACTAAAATGGTAGAATAAGTCACAAAACAAAACTCAG